TTTTTCAGAGACTATTAAGCTCCTATCGGAACTATTCGGGCCTAACACAACCTTTTTCCACAAACGTTGGAAATGCCTGAACACAGTCAAAAACAACCAGCAAGATTTTCTAACGTTTGCAGCATCGGTAAACAAGCTCTGACTGCCGATGATTTCAAGTGCTTGATTTTCGCACAAGGTCTAGTATCCGCAGAAGACGCCGAAGTCAGACGACGGGTACTGACCAAGCTTGAGAACGAACAAGGATTGACTCTGCAAAAACTGGCAGAGGACTGTCAAAGAGTAATATCTGTAAAGCGTGACTCAAACACTATCGAGGAATCAGGGGTGGCTCAGATTAATAAAATCAGAAGCAAGTCTACCTCCTATTCCTCTCAAAAAGACAAAACGCATATCTCATGTCCTAAATTCCGCAGTAACCAAAACCCAAATAGGTTAAAGAAACCGCCCGGACCATGTTACCATTGTGGTAAATGGCACTGGATAAAATTCTGTCCAGTTAAGAACAAAAAATATTGCAAAAATTGTAATAAAATTGGGCATACTTTAACTTCGTACTGGTACGCCAACAGAACGAGAAAACCCAAAAATAAAATTAGGCAAGCTCAATCTGACAATATTGTCGATAGGAATTTAAGCAAATATGTAACTGTGGATATTTTCAATAATTCCATTAAATTCCAGCTTGACTCGAGTTCCGATCTTTCAACCATTAACTGGCGTACTTGTCGAAAATTAATCAAGCCGACCTTATTAAAAACGGATAAAACAGCAAAATCCGTAACTGCCGAAAAAATTAACATTTTAGGTGAGGTAATACAGTAACACTAAATGGATTTACCTAAAAGCTCAAAGCCTACGTATTGAAAACTTCAGTTAACTTATTTGGAACAGATTGGATAGAAAAATTCAATCTTTGGGATTGCCCAATGAGTACATTTTGTCGCAAGATACAAAGTACAACGTCCAATTTGGTAAATCTAAAAAGGAACTTAAACAACGATTTCCCCAGGTTTTTTCTGGCGGCCTTGGGAAATGTACTAAAATGAAAGCTAAGTTCAAGGTGAAGGACGGTGCACAACCGGTATTCAAAAAGAAACGCAATGTCCCTTTCGCTGCTCTAGAGCAAATCAACAAGAGTTAGATAGACTCGAACAAGCAGGTATTCTGTCAAAACAGATTTCAGCAGTGGGCAGCACCTACGGTCTACGTAAAAAAGAAGTCCAATCAAATACGAGTATGCGCAGATTTTTCCATGGGGTTAAACGATGCCTTGCAAGATCACCACTATCCTCTCCCAAGCCCTGAAGAAATTTTCAATAAACTCAATTGTGGAAATTTTTTTTCTAAAATTGACCTCTCGGACGCATACCTTCAGATAGAAGTGGAAGAAGAAAGTTTCAAATTGCTCTGCATAAACACCCATAGAGGGTTGTACAAATACAATAGACTGGCTTTTGGAGTAAAGGTTGTGCCTGCAATTTTCCAGCAGGTCATGGACGCCATGCTGGGCGACCTTGACTACGCAACAGCCTATTTGGATGATATACTGGTTACTAGTAAAACTACGGCAGAGCACCGGAACCATATTATAAACGTAATTGAAAAGATACAAGAATACGGATTTATGGTTAAGGAAGCAAAGTGTGACTTTTTCTTACCAGAGATTAAATACTTAGGTCACATTATAAATAAAGACGGTCGTCGGCCGGATCCAGAAAGAGCCAACGTGATCAGAAACATGCCGGCCCCAGATAACGTTCAAGTGTTACAAAGCTTCCTCGGCCTAGCTAATTTTTACCAAGGGTTCATTAAGAACATGCAAAATTTGAGAGGGCCTCTCAACAAACTTTTAAAAAAGGACAAACCATGGTCATGGACCCCGGAATGCCAAGACGAGTTCGAGAAGATCAAGAAAACTCTTACTTCAGACCTCTCCCTCACCCATTACGACCCTAGTCTCGACATCATAGTCGCAAGTGATGCAAGCTCGTACGGCATTGGTGCTTGCATTCTGCATAAACTGCCAGATGGTTCGCGAAAAGCTGTGGCTCACGCATCAAGATCTCTACTTCCAGCTGCGAAACAATATTCCCAAATAGAGAAAGAGGCTCTAGGGTTAATATTCGCTGTGATAAAGTTTCACAGATATCTACATGGTAGACGGTTCATACTGCAGACGGACTATAAACCTCTAGTTACAATTTTTGGTTCCAAAAAAGGTCTGCCAGTCTATACTGTAAATAGACTATTTCGTGGGGGAACGATTCTCTTAAACTATAATTTCAAGATAGAGTTCCTAACATCCAAAAATATTTGCCATGCGACTCATTCCAAAAAATACAGAAGTCTTTGAAGACTCCATCATTGCTACTCTAAGGACAAATTGTGAAATCAAAAACATGATCGCGAGTACCATAAGAGAGCTCCCAGTTACTTTGGCCGACATAAAATGGGAGTCTCGAGAGGATGAATTCATTCAATCCATAAAAAGCAAAATTCGCAACAAAGATCCCAATGTGCCTGAAGTTTTCTCTCTCTGCAATGATGTCCTACTATATAATGACCGCGTAGTGATTCCAAACAGCCTACAAAGAAAAATCATCAGGGATTTTCACATGGTACATCCGGGGAATAACCGTACGAAAAGCCTCATGCGCTGCTATGTTTATTGGCCAAACATGGACAAGGACATAGCAGACATGATAGAATCATGCAAATGATGCACGCTTGCAGCAAAAGCTCCAACCACAACGTGCAAACCATGGCCAAAAACAGACCATCCATGTCAAAGAATTCATGTCGATTCAGGGCCTATAGACAACATGTACTACCGCATTGTTGTGGACAGCCACTGGGCAAAAGACCAACCACAAACTGCAAGATCGGATTTCTACACGAGCTATTTGCGCGTTTTGGCGTGGTAGATTGTGTAGTTACAGATAATGGCACTCAATTCACATCAAGTGAATTTAGAAACTTCTGCAAGTCATATCAAGTGGACCACGTTACCACGCCTCAGTACCACCCTAGGTCGGATGGCCAGGCCGAAAGGTTCGTGGACACTCTAAAACGGGCTTTAAAAAAGGCACTAGGTACACCGACAGATAGAGCATTGCAACAGTTTCTGCAGGTGTATCGGATAACCCCTAATCCGAACACGCCTATGGGAAGCTCGCCTGAAGAAACTATGTTTGCAAGGAAAATCAAGTCTGTCTTCGACAAACTTATTCCACGGCAAGCAAAGTTAAAAAAAACCGTATCGCCTTATAAGAAATATTTCAATCCTCGCGATAAAGTCTTTTTCAAGGCTTACAAAAACAATATAACATTCTGGGAAGTAGGCACCATAAAACAAAGAATTGGCAAACTGGTCTATATTGTCCAAGGACCGAAAAACATTCACAAACGCCATTGGAACCAGCTCAGAAAATGCCGTTTGAAGGAATTTGAGGAATCACTACAAAATAGCTGTGAAGAGCCGTTCGACGTAATTTTCGATCACTTCGATCTCGACACGCCCCAAGTCTCTCCTGAAGTGCTCAGGAAGGAAAAGGAAATTTACTCAACCGCTCGACGTAAATCCCAAGAGGAAAACGTATTAACAGTTTTATTTTTTCTCTCCTTTTCAAAAAGAAAACTCTTGGAAGCGGGGGTATTGTGAGACCTGAACTACCTAAACAATAGACTCTTCCAGGACTATATTAAGTATGCGACACAACATTCTAGAGACTGAGATATAGAGACACAGTGAGAGCCGCGTACGACTACCAGTATTGGACACTAACATATAGTAAGCTCCGCTTGAACTATCTCTGTAACCTGTTGTTAATATATCTTTCTTACATCTAATCCGTGTTCCGTGTTTTCCTTCTGTGGTCCCGACTTTGGCCCCACATCACGTATATTCTCCATATTTATTGTAATCTTGCATACAATTTTTTTAATGCCTTACAGCACTCATATGAACTATGTGTATTGCCTCTGTAGCTGTTTTCCTTTATTTTCACTTTTACCTTAAAACATGTAAAATCGCAATCCACACACGAATCGTATAGAAAGACTTGTTGAGATGTCGCCTTTCAATATATATATATATATATATATATATATATATATATATATATATATATATATATATATGTCAATAGCGTGAAGAAGTGAGGGAAGATGGTGCGTGAGGGCAACCAATCAAAGAGTGAAATAAAAATTTAGTCTATTTTAATTTATTTATTTCATGTTGAATCTATTTTACATATTTAAAATGTCTTCCTTTCCCACATTTCTCAGGACAAGGCCCTATAAATCCCTAGTTGAGCCTTAGGGACATATATTTGGGAGTTGGCTTTGTGTATTACCAAACTTCTGCATATCAGTGATATCTATCTATCTATCTATCTATCTATCTATCTATCTATCTGTTTTAAACGAAATCACGTGTTCGAACCCTACCGTGATGAATGTTTAGCCCAATATTAGAAAGCTTTAAAGCCATCCTTCTTAGCCTTTTCTCCACCAATCCCACTTCCTTTCGTCAATGCTTCCCCACATCAACCAAATGATTACAAATTTCACCTGGATTAAAAGAAACTGAAAAAATTCTTGTTTTGGGGCATTTTATTGAAGACTCTAAAGCATATATAATGATGACATTTAAGAAGCTCCTTAACTACCAGATCATGAACGCAAGATCAAATGCGAGCGAGAACACAGTACAAGTCCCCTTAAATATTCATCTTGTTTATGCATTAGTTCTTGACAGCAAATAATGTGGAAAATGCAGCTTCACAAATATAAACTGATTCAAATATTTTCCGAACCCGGAAGGTTTGATATATCATCAAAGAGTAAATAAGAATCTACTTGACCCAAAACATCTCTCGAGATCCATTTTTAAAGTCTTCACGTTTACCTGAAGAAACACCATTTGAACTTCATCCAAAATATCACCAACTTTATATTGAAATCAGTTCTTTATGAAGCTTTGGACTTCTCTTCTATCAAATCGCGCTGAACACACCAGTTCTTTTTCGATTACCGAAGTTAAGCAGCATCGAGCCTTGTCAGTACTTAGATGGGGGATCACTTGGGAACACTGGGTTCTGTAAGCAATCTCCTGTAATTCTATATATGTTTCAGCTTTATAAAAACCACAAAGAGTTGATAAACCGTATAAAACAACCAACTTCTCATCTATATCCAAAATATATCTAATTAATTTATCTTTCAATTCAGTCAGATCATTGATTATTTGTATTTTTAATTCAGAATTGATGTTAGCAAACCTGTCTGTATTTCCATCTGAAGAAAATAAATTTAGTCAGGATGATACAAATGATGTCTTAGTGTATGTATACAAATGATGTCTTAGTGTATGAATGTTTATTTTTAGGGTACCTCTGAATAGGTTACACATTCCGTGCTTTAGATATGTTCACTCAATAGGATCGAGATTTCAAATCTACTGGAATCTCTGCTAATCGAAATGTTTTACCATTCCATTCGGGGAAAAATTCACCCAAATATTTTCTCTTCCAGAAGGAAACCCCCTTCAGACAGTAATCTGTCATGCAGATCCTCTGCGATAAAAAAATAGATATACTCGGAGAGGGCAAATTTCAAATCCAAGTATCTTTAAGGCCTCATTAGGAACACAATCATTCTAGTCGGTGAATTTGATAGTTATACTTCCTCAAACATCCCAACGCAATTTCCTTACACATGTTTGTCTTTCATTCCGACCTGAAGACGCCTACCAAGCGCACAGAGGCGAAACGCGTTGCCGGTAAAAAAAAAAAAAAAAAAAAACTTTTCCATTTTGTTATTATCTTCACTTTCCAGTCTTGGGTATGACGATAAATTACATCCGGCAGCAAGGTCTCTGATCGGGAGATTGGAGGTTTTGAGGAGCGTGGAACCAGCTCTTAATTGCTGTTGTTCCCAGGTGCACCCTAACCAGGAGTTGTAGTACCTGTTATGGTACCAGATATGGCAAATAGTGAATTCTCAAATAAAAACAAAACACTATGAAAGTATAAACATAAATATTTATTGTAAAATGAACAACAATACATTTTATCTATAGCTGAAGGCATACAATTGCATTCAAAATGTATTTAGTTGAAGCCATAAAACTGTTCAAATTATTTAGATTTCCGCATTAAATAAGCCACAGATTTTGATATGATGCTAAACAAAATCAACCAACCAACATAAAAGAACTCTTTCATTCATTAATCCATATAATATCCAACATTTTCTTAAAGTGTATTCCAAAATATAACTTCAACAAAACTACAACATAAAACCCGCATATGACCACCTGTAGTAATTATATCTACACAAACATCTATATGCACAAAATCTGAGTATCATCTACCATGTATTCAATTGTGAAAGCAGAATAACATATTATATTTTTATTACTTCAAAGCTTGCAAGAAAATTAAATTCCATCATTAAATGAGTCACAAACAAACAAATCAATCAAATCTTCACTTTTCTTTATAACAAAAAATAAAATACTATTACTTTAATCAAAATATATTTGCGAAACATTTACATTTAGTTAGGAAATATAGTTTATCAACCAACAAGTGAACATTTTAAGCTTTTAATTGATTTATTTAAACAAACATTGAAAAAAGAATCTTTTGTGTTGGTCATAAAGATAAGACCATGTAAATAAAAATAGCAAATACTGAATAAATAAGTCACAACGTCACCGCTGATGCCAAGTTGTAAGCTGATGTCATCGCGAAGTTAGTTAAATAAAATTAAAAACAGTCTGGGACCAAGGATGACGCCCTAGGGGAAACCCACGATAGTACAAAAGGATCTAGACAAGAGGCCGTTCAAGATAACTTTCTTTGACAGGAAAGACTGGATCAACTCAAAAATGTGTCTAGAGACATCGTAACTTTTCTGGTTGTAGAAAAGACCTGAATGTCAGACCCTTTCAACGGCTTTCGAGATGTCCAATGCTACTACCCGGATAGCATCGTTTTTAACTCGGGCATGATAGCCTCTTTCTGTGGCAATGTTCCCGAAGTTTGGCAATAAACCGATTTGCATTGATTGAATGGCAATAAAGACTAGATTATTTTTGTCGAGAATGTGTTCTTTGTTAGATGAATTCCTGATCGAGAATCTTTTGAGCACTAGTTGTAAGGCGTTCTCAATGAGTCTGTCATCTCGCTTTTGTGTGTGTGTGTGTGTGCGTGTGCGCGCGTGTGTGGCAGTGCCTGGAATTCTTTCGCGCCAAGATTTATGAATACCATTTACAAACTCGGCTTTCTTTCGCCTACTGATACTTCGACTTTCATTTTTAATTTTTCTATTTAAGTCACACTAGCGACATCAGTTCTACATTTCTACCCGTTAACGTGTTGCATTCCACCCAAATATTGAAAAGGAGAAGATAACCCAACGACCACAGTAATAAATACTCAAACGCACACACAAACATACAGAAAATTGGTAAATGTCTTAAGCTCGGCAATGTCTCAAGGGGGCTGAGATGAAAGAAAACATTTTGCAATTTTACTTTGACCTGTCTGTTTATAATTGTATCTTAGTCCAGATTGTTTCTTTTTAAGCTTCCGTACAACTATTTAGGATTTAGGCAAATTCTTTTTGCAACATTTCAAACGGACAAACTTGTTCGAATATTATTATTGACATTCTCCTTATTGACATTAATACATCAAATTTTGGTTATGTTACAATTCAGCTGGCGATGCCGTTTTCATTTGTTATCAATTGACTCTGATTCAAACACAGGAGCATCTAAGATTCGTTGATCGTTATTCAATCTATTGTTCTATGTACCGTCTCATTTCAGGACGTTAGCAATCATGACTCTCCACGATTTCCTGTCCTTTGTAGCTCTTAATAAACATCCTTTTTGTTATATCTCCTAAACCTTTGCTGAAGTTCACTAGATAAGTTATGCGTTATTTTCCCCTGTTCCTCTTGTCTTCACTCTGTCCTGTGAGTATCAAAATTTCCCTATTTCTTCCTAGAAAATTCAACTCTCTTCCTGATGTTAATAAGTATAACTGTACTTTTCTTTCCATGTTCTCTATAAGTTTGTCGTTGCTCACATATTCGGCCCATGGTATACTTAGCATCCATCTGTAGAACCACATTTTTATTGTTTCAAATCTCTTAATATGCGAGGAGATTTTACCGCATTCACAGCCATTATCCAAAATCAATGTTGGTTGGTTGAATTTTCTTAGCAGCATATAAACTTTTATGGATTATTTAATACCGAAATCTAAATATTTTGAATGCAGTTTCATGCCTTCAACTACAGATAAAATGTATTGCAGGTATTTTTTTTTAAATGTATTGTAGGTAATTTTACTATAAATAAGTATTGTTGGTACAAAAAAAAGTATTGCTGGTATTTTTACTATAAAATTATATTTTTACACTTTCATAGTTTTTTTTTTTTTTTTTTTTTGGAAGTTCACTATTTGCCCATAGCTGGGACCCTACCTGCTACCACCTTAGGTAAGGTTGAATGTGGAAACAGCAATTAACCCCTTTCCAGGCGCAGACGTGTATATACGTTTTTACTGAACGTGTCTTTTTCAAACGCGTCCCAAGCATAACATTCAAAAAACCAGTTACAGACGTGTTTATAAGTCGATTTTGATATTTTTTATGTCCTTCTGTTTTTGAAACGAGTTCAATTGTCAACTCATATGTCTGATAGAGTTGTTAGCCACCGCTCGAGTATTTCAATGTGCCTTAGTTTCTTAGTTACTATATTAAGAAAAAGTCGCGTGAAAATGAAACGTTTTCCCAAAATAAGTGGCGGTGAAGGAGTTAAAAGGTGGTTTCACACTCCTCAAAAGCTCCAAAAAATGTTGTTTACACAAATGTTTTTGGCTTATCAAGTGACGTCATTGAACATTATATAATTTTTGTAGTAGAGAATATTACATCATTAAATTGAAGCCATATATATTCAAGTACAGTTAATGGATTCAATGGCTTGTATTCATGATAATCATTGGTATTGTTGGAAAAGGCATGAATTCATCTGTTCTTTCTCGAGCTGTTTGTTAAATAGCAATGCAGACTGAGATGATATCCAGTCTTGTGTGTGTGGGGGGGGAACTAAACTGAATTCAATCTGTGGAGAAGAGAACAATAGCAATGATCCATTTACTGATATTAAAGAAAATGGTAGCTTTAAGGACCTATAGTCGCCTACGGCCTGATGGGACATATCAGTTAAATAAATAAAAATTGAAAAGTGTAAAACGAAGAGAATGATTCAAGACTTGTTTATCTCTTGTGACATGAATGAAATATTTTGAATAAAGCTTACAAATTAAGTTCGCGTTGGACGAAGACTAATTTGCATCAGGATCAAAGACATGGGATATATAAAGAGGATTAAAGTTACTAACAATCAGTTGCGAGATAAACATGTTAACCATTGTAGTACTCCAGACACTTAGCACACAACCAGGTCCATGACGCATTTTATAAGGAAGGAATTGCCTATAAGTGACAATCGAGAAAACTTGCAAGACATTCTGTTATGAGAAGAATTTTTAAATATTACAAAATTTTTTTGGTATTTTGTGTAGTGTGCGCTAAAGAAAATGACTCAATCGATTAAGCATTCGATTAAGCTTGACTGGTATTAATGGAACCGACTACACATGTGCAGGTGCAAAAATGTTCGAATCATAGAATTGAGGTTGCTTATCGATATAGTGTTTAACCAAAATCATGAGACACTTAAGTTTGAATATTGTATTATTTGGAGTACTGTCTGTATTACAACTTGTTGCATTGTCATTGATACAGTAGGAATGAGATACGAAGTTAAATATATGGTCGGGATGAAAACGGGACATGCAAAAGTTGCACGACTTCATACTATCCTCCATAGAGACTAAAATACGTGTTCAACTTTCTAATATTAACTTTTTTTTCATCCTGTACAAGACACGAAAGCCACACGAGGTAGGTGGAAGGCTACGGAGTAATATGCACATTTTATGGAGATATGTGGGGAAGATACCGGTTGATCCAAGGCTTGAAAGATTGTAATGATCAGGAAAGCATTCTCTTGAGATTC